AAACCCTAAACCCTTGAACCCTGAACGCAAACCCTCACAACCTCAAAAACCTCAACCCTGAACGCACCGCCGAGCCTTAGTAATCTAGCATGAGTAGACCTGCTCCGGTGTTTGCGGCTTCGGGCCATGGGCTTCATGCAACGCCTAAAACCTAGAACGAGGCCCTGGGGCATATTGCCCTAAGCCCAAAAAAATGCACACTTTCGGTCTTACAGGGAGCTATATGATCCCAAAAAGGCTTCAAGTGCAGCCGTTCAGCTACTAGGTGTACTATGGTTATGTCGAGGAGCCCCTAAGGGAGAGTTTTAGTCTTACTAATTGCCACGGCCCTTGAATTCCCGAACAACGGGCTCAGGGTAGTTGTTTGCCGAATAACTCTTATTGCAACCGTAACTGTCGGTCGGTGCGGTTTGGGGTCTTAGGGATTTAGGATTTAGGGTTTAGGGTCTTAGGCTTAGGGGTTCAGGGTTTAGGGTTTAGTAATACTTTTACTGGGCAAAAACTACCAGCACAGCCAAGTTATCCCTCCAAGTGTGGTATACAATCGAGATCAAGACGCTGCAAAGATTTTGCTGCTGCCGTCACATTCAGGATTCGTCAACGGCGATGCGTGTTCATACTTTGTGTCTTGCACATACTTCCTCACATCACGGGGCCTGTTTGAGAATAAACCGTCCAGATAATCCATCAAGACCTGCATCTCGCAATCAGGACCACCGGTTTTTATCGACCACTTCGAAACCCGTAACAGGTTGGAAGCACTCGCCGGGTCCAGATGCACACCGGGCTGCGTGTCAGCACATGCTATGTGCAGCATCAGTTTACGGGTGAACCGTGGCCCAACGCTGCCCAGTCTTTCCTGCTCCAGTTTTTCCGCCTCGGATAAGACAATCTCCAGGTTTTTCATGAGCATGTTCGTCTTTGAACGGTCATGGACCGCCTCTGGATTCTTCTCGCCGAAGGACTCGTCGAATAACCAGACGCTGCGCTCGGACCCAGTATCTTTCAGCACCGCCCTGCCCTCTTTCAACCAGGTTCCTGATGTGGCTCCGTCCAGAAACTTCAAAGCAGCCCGATCCGCGTTGTCCGTCGACAGCGTGCTGCATAAACCAATCCGGCATAGGCCGGCTTCTTGTTGATCTAGAAGATAAACGAAAAGCTTGGCTGCACCTGGCCGCAAGAACACTTCTTCTACCTGATACCAGTCATTCGGGGGCGTGCCTGTCTTCTCACTCTTGTGGTCGAGGAGTGTAAACCTCATATCCAACAATATCAGATACATGTCATTCAGCTGAGGGTCGGCCTCCCACTCGAGCTCCTGGTTTGACTGACTCATGTATCTCTTCCATCGGGTTCCTGCGACTCAACGACCTGGCATTCGTGGTCTGACTTGTCAAGCCATTAGAAGATGAGGTCGTATCGGAGATCACTGTCATGTCTTCACTACGAGCTTGCTCGCGACAGTGCGGGCAGCCACTCAGCCGACAAGTCCAGTGATCGCAGAGCGGAGCCCAGAATGGCGGTGACATTTGACAATCCACCTTCGGACAGCTGAAGATCCGATCCGTTGCGTCACCACAGTGAAAGCAGGCATGCATGGCCAAGGCCCAACAGCTCCCAAGAACGGCAAAACCTCAGGATCGCTGAGTCAGCCCAGCCGAAGTCTCTTCAGACTTCATTTCGGATCTCCAACGATCATTCAGTACATATTGACGAACACTACAAGTACATAGAGAGCCTTTCATACCACATGTTGCAAGCCTGTAACTCACTGTCATACATGCCTCTTACACCTGCACCTTATCAAGCTTATCCGAGGATTTAGCAGAAAAATGTCCCGTCAAACACTAAGCCCTAAGACCCTAAACCAAAACCCTAAACCCTAAACCCTAAACCCGGGAAACCCTAAGACCCTAAACCTGCTTGGGATTTCCAGGCTCAGGAAGTCCCCAGATGGTAGGACCAACGGGATTCCAGTAAAAGGCAGGCACCTAAAAAATGGGTTTAGGGTTTAGGGCTTAGGGTTTAGGATTTAGGGTTTAGGATTTAGGGTTTAGGATTTGGGGTTTAGGGCTTAGGGTTTAGGATTTAGGGTTTAGGGGTTTTTGAAGCAACGAAAGTACAGTTCTGTTAGGTTGTCGCAGGTTCTTGATTATTCAGTCATCTTGTCTTGCTGTCGATGCCGGGGCGCATGGTTTCTAGCTCAGCTGATCTTTCTGCCCCCTAAACCCTAAACCCTAAACTCTAAACCCTAAACCCTAAACTCTAAACCCTAAACTCTAAACCCTAAACCCTAAACCCCAAACCGTACCGAAGCGGTGGCTCATGGGCTTTTGAGCTTCTTTGGGCCGAAAGGCCTCACGGAGAAGATACCCCCAAGGCCCACACCAAAACCTGGGTTCAGGGCTTAGGTTTTGGGGGTTTAGGTTTTTAGGGTTTAGGGGTTTAGGGGTTTAGGGTTTAGGGTTTAGGGTGAAAAGGGCAGGTTCCTTGGCTGACTTCTGAACCCCTCCTAAAAGTTACACTTTTCGTCTACTTATTATAGTTCATACAGAAGCCCAAAAAGTTGAAGTCCTAAGAGCCAACCGGAAGAACGCCGGAGGCGCGAGATCACTGAATACAAAAGAGGATCTGAGGTTCTTAAAATCGCGGATCCTGTTCCGGGTGCCGGTCGTGGTCACGATTCAGAAACCCTAAATCCTAAACCCTACACCCTAAACCCCCAAATCCTAAACCCCAAACCCTAAACCCTAAGGGTTCTGTCGCAGGTCGTTTACTCTCCGGCTCTTTTGCAGTTAAGTTCCAGGAGAAGCCCAAGAGAACCGAGACTTAGGGCTGTTCATAGGGGGCCTTAATGGGGTGTAGGGCTTAGGGTTTAGGGTATTGGGGTTTAGCGTTTAGGGTTTCGGATTTAGGGTTTAGGGTTTAAAGAATGGGGTTTCGAGTATAATATACTATGATTATGATAAGGGCCCTATTATAGTCTTGGTAAGCATTTAGGCCCCTATAATAGGCTCAGGGCTTCGGGTTTAGCATTCAGGGGTTCGTGGGTTTGTCTTCTCAGGGTTTAGCTGTAGGTAGTAGGGGTTATTGACGGTTTAGGGCTTAGGGCCGAGGGGTTAGTAATGTAGCACTCCCGTGGGACTGGCTGGGCTCCCCCCTACCCTGCAAAATAGCAGGTCCTGTCGGGACCCCGAAAGTTTTAGATTTAAGGCAACGTCGTTGAACAGATTTCAAAATCCTAACCCTAAACCCCAAACCCTAAACCCTAAACCCTAAACCCTAAAACCCTAAACCCTAAAACCCTAAAACCCTAAACCCAGAAGTTTCACCTCTCCCCGAACTTCCATATGATCCACGCTTAGCCTGTCCGTGAGCAACGGTTCCCTCCTCCGGTTTAACAACACCTAAACCCCTACCATAACCCACCAGAACCTACTTTTTTTTTGTAGGGTCCCCATAAACTCCATATTGGGGTTTATACTAAGAACCTAGAAAAAAGTAGGTTTTGGTAGGTTAAGGTAAGCATTAAGGCTTGTGGTTTAAATTTCAGGGCTACGCCCCAAACCCTACAAGCCTTTTCGAGTCAAAAGCCTGAAGCTGAAAAAACCCTAACCCGAAGCTCTCAACACGAAGCTTCTGAAAGGAATAGGGTTTGCTTTTTAGGGCTCAGGGTTTAGGGTGTGGGGTTTTGGATATTCGGTTTAGGGGCTCGGGTTTTAAGAACTTCCTACAGAAGAACCCAATTTTCCATTCCACCGCTGCACGTGTGAGTTGTTCTGTAGGTCCGTTTAGAAGAGGGAGCATTGGGAACACACTTCCTTACCCCTAAACCCTAAACCCTAAACCCTTAAAACCCCAAACCCTAAAGCCCTAAAACCCTAAACCTACTCTAAACCCTAAAGCCCTAAACCCTAAACCCTAAAACTCTAAAACCCTAAACCCTAAACTCCTAAACACCTAAAAACCCTAAACCCTAAACCCCTAAATCCCCTAAATCCCCTGAACCCTACTAAACCCTTTGGGTTCAAACAAACCCTGACGGAGGTTTCGGTCTCTCCGAATCCCTCACGTATCCTCTTAGACCCCAGAGCGCCCTTTTGAAAGGAAACTACAGGTGGGGAGTTTAGGGCATACAGGGCTTCCATAAGGCTTCTATAAGGTATATAGACTTTCTATAAGGCTCCTATATCCGTAACTACCCATCTGAAAATGTCCTAGACCTTTCAGCTGATGCAAGGTGCGACAAGCATTTCCTACTAAAACGACGGCACTGTTCTTACAGCGCCTGTACATTAGGATCCCTATCCTAAACCCTAAACCCTAAATCCTAGGCTTAGGGGTAGGGGGCGCTTCATACATCATTTCTACAGCCCTCACCTCTCCAAGCGCGTCGAACCTTGAATCCCAAAACCCTCACCTCCAACGCTTCCAAAACTCTAAACCCCGAAACCCCAAATCCCTACTGTAAACCCCCAAACCCCCAAAACCTTAAAACCTAAAGGATCCCTAAATATGGGGAAAAGATCCCTAAACCCTTAACCCTAAACCCCAAAACCTAAGACCTAAAGGATCTAAACCCTAAACCCCAAATCCCCCAAAACCTCAAACCCCAAAAGATCATCCCTAAACCCTAAACCCTAAAGCCCTAAACCCCTAAAGCCCTAAACCCTGAACCTTTTCCGAGGCCCCGGCCAGTCGGATCCCCCTTGGCGGAGGTCCCCGCGTCCCTTTGGCCGCGCCTGCGTCTGGCAGTCGAAGGCTCGATCTGCCATCATCAGCCTGGTGTAGGGCTGAAAGGGTTTTTCAGGGTTTAGGGTTTTTTGAGTTTAGGGTTTAGGGTTTAGGGCTTCGGGTTCAGGGCTTAGGGTTTAGTGGGTTTAGGGGTTTAGGGGGGTTTTAGGGTTTAGGGGTTTAGGGTTTAAGGTTTAGGGGGTAGGGCTTTTAGGGTTTAGGCGTTTAGGGTTTAGGGTATGAGCATGAATTTGAAAAGGGTTCCTTAGAAGGGTTCCTTTCAAAAGGGGTCTAGAAGGATTGCTATGTGGGTTTCTACAAGGCTGAGTGTAGGATCCTTAATAATTAGTTGTTAGGTTTAGGCTTTGGGGTTTCGGGTTTGGGCTTTTTTATGTCAATCCTGCTGATCCGGGGTTCCCATCAAAAATTCCATGTATACATATAAAAATTTGGGCGGCTATTTGTCCTAAACTCATCTAGTTATGCTTCGCCAGGTGTATGCCTTAAAGACCTCGGTCCCGGAGGCGCGATTTGGGGTTCAGAGGTTTGCTACTTCCTGCTTGATGTGATATGGTGGTCTTGAATTCATTCGTTACTGCGCAAACAAAAGCGCAAACGAAAGCGAAATTCGATAAATAGCGCATTAAGCGATACTAGTACTATTAGATTTCTATCTGTCCATATCTTTCTGCGATCCATGCGCGTGTGTGTATATATATACATATATATACAGATAGAGAGAATATATATATATATATGTATATATGTACATACATATATTTAGTTATATTTATATTTATATTTATATTTATATTTAAATCTATATCTATATCTATATTTATATTTACATTTACATTTATATTTATATTCATATTATATTTATATTATATTTTATATTTATATAT